CCCTAACAGAAACCGTTTACTGTCGACGGCGTTCGCCATTATAGGTGTGACATCAATTCTCTATGCCAATTTCATCCAATTGTTTTGACAGCAAATCTGCAAATGGTTTATGGATAGCAACCTTACTATTTATCAAGCACAATTGCAAATGAAAATGCAGATTTATCAATAATCAACCATAATCTGTGTATGTGACTATTTTTTTTTTTTTTTTAATTTGAAATCTTAGAGGATTGCAAATGAAAATGCTGACAAGTACTGTCTTTGTACTTATTCAGCAGATCCCAAATTGGTATGCTTGCTTATATTTAACTATCAACTTGAAAATTGATGACTTTTAAGGACTTGATTTTTGAAATGGGAACTTCCAGTTGGGTCATATTTCATATTTTCTTATAATTCATGATGTTGCGAAGTTTATTACAAATTTTGATTATATTCTAGCTTATTTGAACCTAAAGATCATTTAAGAAATGGGAGTTTCAGTTGGGTTTTCAGTGGCAAAAACATCACTTAGTAAAGGTTTTCAGTTCTTTGACTTTTTCAATGAGTCATTGCATAGTTTTAGCTCACAAATTGCAATTCTGTATGTTGGCATAGACAAAGATAGATGCATTTATTTTCAACATTTAAAAGAGTATCTAATTTTTTTTTTTATCTTTTTTGGGAAAATACTTTTTCGTTTGAATTTTATACGACGTTTTTAGAGTATGAAAACACGTAAGCTACAGTTGTAATATCGTATGGACTTATTTTCGTTAATAATATGTAGCTTTAAATATTTTTGAATTTTCATTTTTGACCCCACAAGATAAATGATCTGGGTCCGCCCCACCTTGGGCTGTTAAAACAGTAAGTGTATTTTTGTTTCGTTGCCTTTATCTCATTGGGGCATTTTTCACGTACAATGATGAAGTAAAGTACAAAGAAAAAACTTACTGTTAAAAGTAAAATTTACTAATCAATAGTCAAACATAACTACAGTTAAAAGTAGATAAAGAATAGAGTTTTGCTTGGTTTCTCTTCTGATGCTCTTAGCCCATGTTTGGTTTGGATAAAAATTTATTTGAAGTCTCAAATCAAAGTCAATAATTAATTTTAACTAGACATTTCATATAGCCCACAACTTTTCAACCACACATTTTATCAACTTCTATCAAAATCTAATAAAAATCTGATCATAATCTCTATCGAGAGCTTAATTTCATATGCATCTTGGATATTTTATCAAATTGAACGAATACTGCACATGCTGTCTAGAAATCCTGCACGCCCTTAGGCCATCCCATGCATCCTGTCAAGAAAGAAATCCTGCGTGCCCTTTTAAAATTCCGCCCATAATGCCGCCATCAAGTAAATCTCGCAATGCAAAATTCACTCATCCATGCAAAATCTGTACGCAAGTTGACTGGATGCTCCATTATATGCACATCAGTGCGATAACATCTCACTATCAAGCCAAATAAGCACAATTCTCGTACACCAAGATTCCAACATTGGATACTGCAACCATCCACTAGAACTTTTACAAAAAAGTTATTCATACAATCATTAGTAGGGTACAACACTTACAACACACTCACATTAGTGTGTGCCCCTCCAATTATTTAATTGGTCCGACCCACACTAATGTGAATGTGTTGTAAGTGTTGTATCCCACTAATGATTGTACACCTAGCTCTACTCGAACTTTTATCATCTTTATGTGCAAAAACAATGTTTGCTAAGCTGACAAATAACATAGAAACCAAAACCAGAACGAATAAGGGACTATACAAAACTGCATTTGTTTTTCTCCTTCATTTTGCATGCATTCATGTTTTTGCATATAAGGGTGGGCAAGAGAGGTACAATGAAACTAAAGGTTGACGGTCCAACATTGACTCATTTTTAAGATTTAGGTACATCAAGACACGTTATATTATCAAAACTAAATTAATCAAGTTGCCAATGCAAAAACTAAAGAGGAGGGAAGAAAAAAGCCGCAGCCACAAGCATACAATGATCAGAGTAGAACGGGAAAACACTCAAAACTTATACCATGACCTGCTGCGAGATAGCAAGTATAACAGGTATTGAAAACAGCCACATATCCCATGGAGCTGAGTCACTCTGTAATGGGTTACAACAAAGAGGTTGTCAATCATTAAACAATAAATATACAAGTGATAAAGTTCAGCAAAACACTCCATCTATCTACGGAAATCCTCAATGACAATTCAAAGAAACGTTCTCCCGACTACAGTAAGATAAATAGAAAGCCAGCCACCGGTGACACAGAATTTCCTATGGTAGCATGCACCCATCTACTACACTGAGAACAATTTCTTTTTATCTTCAGTCATTGAACGCCATTGAAGCTACACCGTGTATTGATTTTTAGCAGCTTTGTCGAGCGTCTTCGCATCCTCCTGCATTACAACAGTTGGTCAGCCGGTGTTTAGATTATCTCAAAGAAAAGCTTAATTAAATAGGCAGTGATGTACATATTTTAACGCTTACATGCAATCAGAGTTTTCTGACAAAAAAATAGTTCATATTTGTATAAAATAATGGGGATAAACAGTTACATCTCATGAAGTCTGGGGAAGACGTGTTTATAAGGTATAAATAATGCCTAATTACCAAATCATCATTCCACTTCCTTGAGACTGTATAAAATAGTAAGAAGTACAATAGATTAATATTAAGATAAATGCATAATTAAGTTCTGTATTATGTATAAATATCATTTCTAATATTGGAGAATAATTCATATTTGAATTTCTTTATGCATATGAGATAAAAAATTCCATACTCAATTATGGCACAACCACTTTTAAAAGAATGTCGTGAATGCTAATGTTCGTTCAATTTCATTTAAAATATTATTATATACATTCAACAACTTAATGTAAACACGCTTATTATGTCTCAGCTTTACAAGCATTTCTCTGTAAGCACATGATGATAACTAAAAAGAATGTCCACGGAATACTGTTTTGTCCCTTTTCCATTTCTTTCTCTACTTTTCTTTTCCTTTGCCTCTCATTTCTTCTTACTTTTCCTCCTTTATATGAGGAAAAATGCAATTATTTTGACCGTAGAGAAAGATGGATGACAGGCTCGGGATGGTGGTGGAAAATAGAGAGAAAGTAACCCAAGCAATTTAGCAAATTTGTAATGTTAGTACAGTAAGTTAAGCTGTCAAACTAACTTAAAATCAAAGTTTTCATAAAGATTGACTAATAGCATGTTTGGCAAAAATTTTATTAGCCTATGTTTGGCTCATGTTTATAAACTGCTTATAAATACTCAAGCTACTTTTATTCACATATTTCAAATGATCCACAAGTACAATCTACTTATCCACCACTAATTTCTATTTATTTATAATTTGAACCATCAATAAACATTTCTAGAACACGCTTTCAGATTATAAGTTGTGAATCCAATAAAATCGACATTAAGTACATAAAAGCCGTGGGCCCTACGAAATGTATGAATAAAAATAGAGCTTGACTAACTTATAAGCATAATCTTTGCCAAACATGCACTTCAAGAAAATTTGCAATGTTGTAAATCAATGCAATTTTCATGACAAACATTTCAAAAGCGCTTCTAACCAAAATGTAGCTTAAATTCAGGTCCATGGAAGAGAGAGAGAGAGAACTTACATGAAATATGAACCCAATTGTGTAATTATAATCTAGAAACTCCTTCCATTGTCTTCCAATGCTTTCCTGCAAAGAAAAAAATTTCATAAGACGAAGTAGATTGAGGCACAAGAAGAAAGCATAGTTTTAAGGAGATACCCAAAAAACTTAAAGTAAATCAATGCCTTCACTAATTGTTTTTGTCAGTAATCCATTCAGTTTCAAGATCTAGTAGATTAGACAATACACAACATCCAACGTCAGGTCTGAAGAATAGATTCAAAAACTCGGAACAATCATTTCACAAAAGCAGGTATTGGTTTTTCAAAAAAGCAAATGGACCATCCAAATAAAAGTATAAAACTAAACACTTGGCCATCCAACTAAAAGTCATCAAGGGTGCCTGTTCCAATATTTTCTAAGCAAAAGTCAACATAGTTTAAGTGATCCTCCCTGAAATGCTTTTTCTAGTAAAAGTACATTGATGGAATGTTCGATAGGGAGAGGACTAGAATCTAGCTAGTACTTGACAATAAGCTAAAATATTGTTTATCATACTGCGCAATCCTACCTAGTACTACGTACTAAATGTGCTCTTTGTGTCATTCAGCAAAAGTAGTGAGACCTTTCTAAAGGGGGAATCCCTTCCATGATTACACAGTGCCTTGCTCCCTCATAAGCAAGTGTCTTAATACTCTGAAAAAATAACTGATAATATATCAATTGGGTGCAAGAAAATCAGCATGTTCCCGAATTGAGACAGTGAAAAACCAATTTTTTGTCAGTCATTTGTAGAAGAAGGATTCAGAAAAGTTGTTAAAAGTCTAAGGGGTGGTCATCATCCTCTACTCCTCACAATATCCAACGTCGCATGCAAAGTTTCATAAAGTAAGATCACAGGAAAAAAAACCATTAATCTCCAGAGAGATAAGTTTCACATAAGATTTAAAGAAATGCAAATGGTCAACCATATGTCAAAAAATCCAATAAGAACAGATTGAATTATTCGTTCAAAACTAATTACCTGAGCAGCTTTATTGGCAGCATTCTTGGTCCACAAAGCAATTTTTTCCTCTCTTAATCTGACATTCACAACTGCTCCACAGATTTCATCTCCATAATCAAATTGTTCTCCAATCATTGCCAGCAGCTAATATGAAATCAATATGGGGAATTAGTGGGAGCATAATATAAGAGATCAACATGTTGAAAAAAATGCAGTCGAACTGTACCGTGTGGAGCCAACATGTATCAGATTTACCCCTAGGAAAAGTCACAGTCCACTTTCCCCCATTGGCACAAACAGGATCTTCCCATTTTGGCTCAATTTTATACTTAAAACAGTGGAAGTCAGCTTTAACTGCCAACTTGCTTGGTTGTTTAATGTTATTGTAAACACTGCAAGCCATACAAAGTGAACTTTTAAGTGGCAGGGTTCAAATAGAAGCAAAGGATACAGTGAAAAGCTGTGATCGTAAAGGTAACTGCCAAAATATGACTTCCACAGCCACTTGTAAGAAGTGGACAAGCAATTTGTATTTAGGCATTGAAACTGTGGTAATTAAAAAGAAAAAAGAAGGAAAAAACGTCAAGGATGTTTTAAAGAAAAGTGAAAACATAACATACAGAATTAGCGTCAAATTAGATAGGCATGCTTATGATTCTATTTTCCAGTTCAGGGGGCAAGATCTCCACTCTCTCATTCCCAACCCCCACAACAGGGGAAAATAAACCTAAATTTGGCAACATCATCTATATCTTGATCTCTCTATAAATCAGCTCCATTTTCCAATTTTTGCCCTAGCAATAAAATTAAGAATAATGCCATTTGTAGTAGCCGCCTCCGGTAGTCGCCTTACATGACATCTTGTTATTTCGGGCATTAATTTTCTGTCAAATAACAAGCTAACGCCTCAATAACAAAATGTAGCATAAGATGACTACTCTGTGAAGAGCATTACTCTAAAATTAACAACTCCTGATCTGCATTCGCACTTCAATATTCCTCTAGATATCTATGCTCCTATTTCACTTAGTATACCAGATCTTTCATCATTTTTTCGCTAACGGAGAACAGGAAGACAAAAATGAATTTTGACAAAACATAAAAATATATAAATCCAAGAGAGCCAGGAAGACTCGAGGGAGATGCCCAAAAGATACATACTAAATCTACAAATACAGGTATTAAACATTTACAAATCGAACATCTAAATCACAGGTACAGGAAGACATATAAAAAGATAAGTATTACATAGATTCATAAAAACAGCGTAGGGTACCTCCAGAAGTCTTCAACAGTGGAGAAGGTATAAACCGGGCGGATCGAACTGCCCCACTCCGCCTGTTTATTTTTAGCCGACGGGTTGTCGAACCAAAATGTCCACGAGTGCTCCAATGGGTGCTTTACCGGAGGCGGCGGTGCTATGTCCTTCGCCTCCGAATCAATGTCTGACCCGCCACCAACGATCTCCCCTTCTTCCGCCTCCGATTCTTCTCCTTCAGTATTTTTGACATTCGTAATTCTTGACGTTGATGATGATGATTTTTGGGGTTCCTCTTCGCTGAGATTGGTAGTTGATTTCGCAGTTTCTTCAACCATTTTCCCTTTTCTTGTTTGTTTTCTTTTTGCGTCTTTTGTTCGAGGTATTCTGGTACGATGGTTTCTATCTTACACACCGACATACCTTTTAGGCCCCGTTTGATACACTCAGTGGCGGTCCCAATTTTTGAACTCAGCCCGGACGGACGTTGACTATTCAACGTCGACCATCGACGATCGTAAGAGCGATATCGTTTATTAATATTTAATTATATAATATTAAAAATTATTCAATATATATATATAAACGCACTAAAACATAAAAAATATGTACATATGAAAACGTAGTTTAATACAACCAAAAGTACTAAAGAAATACGCAACACAACCTATTATGTAACTGTAATCTTAGACAACTGTATTCTACGAGATCTCATGCTTTGAAAACGTTGCAATATTGCTTCATTCTCAATTTTTTCAAAAATATCTTTCTCCATGTACACCACCAAATTGTCATTCAACCAGTCGTCTCCCATTTTGTTGCGCAAGTCACTTTTGATTAGATTCATAGCAGAGAATACTCTTTCAACACTTGCAGTTGCCACAGGTAATATCAAAACCAATGTAATCAGCCTATAAACCAATGGAAAATAACAAGAGCTTCCTGTTTCA